AAGGAAGGAAGGAAGGAAGGAAGGAAGGAAGGAAGGAAGGAAGGAAGGAAGGAAGGAAGGAAGGAAGGAAGGAAGGAAGGATGGATGATACTGAAGAGTCTTAGGTACTTGGGGGTTTAGTGAGGTGTTCTTGTGCAGGGACAGAGTGAGGAGACCTCACACAGGGCCCATAGGATATGCAGTAGAATGTGCAAATCACCTCCCCACAAATGTGTACCTGTGGTGAATGCCACTCAGAAAAGAAAATAAAATCCAGTTATCCCATTGGATGCAAAGGGTGTGGATTCAAAATAATATGTAAGAAAAGAATCCCTAAATTGATGTTTTTTTGGTGTTGAATGAAACGTGTAAATTCATGTGTTTACTGATTTTTGGATTCCCACCGACAGTTCAAATCGTTTTATAATTTTGGCCTGCATGTTTGTGTTTATACGTAGCTGCCTCATTAGTAGGTGTGTCTCTTTAGTAGCTGTGAATTATTGTTAGTACGACTACTAACTCATTAAATAATTAGCATTCATTAAATGAGTTTCTTGCTTAAAAAGTAAGAAAAATCAAAACCAGGGTGGAGAATCAACCCACTCCAGGTGTGAAAGTATCCATCAACTTCCTGGTGATTCCATTATAGACCTCCTCACCTAAAATGTCAAACTCCACGGGTACCTTCTAGAGTCATGTTCTTCAATCAACGGTTAAACGTGCACCATGACTCAATCACGTTTGTATAGTCAGTCAACGACTGCTTATTTGTGACATGCTTCCATATTGTTTGTTATTCTGTTTCAGGCAGAGTGGTGAATGTCAGTAGTCTACTGGGTTCAAAAGCTCTTGAAAACTGCAGTGAAGATCTGCAGGAGAAATTCCGAAATGAGACACTCACGGAGGAGGACCTGGTGGACCTCATGAAAAAGTTTGTGGAGGACACAAAAAATGAAGTGCATGAGAGGGAAGGCTGGCCCAACTCGGCTTATGGGGTGTCCAAATTGGGGGTCACGGTCTTATCGAGAATTCTGGCCCGACGTCTGGATGGGAAGAGAAAAGCCGACAGGATTCTACTGAATGCATGCTGCCCAGGGGCGGTGAAGACGGACATGGCTGGCGACTACGGCTCCAGGACTGTGGAGGAAGGGGCTGAGACCCCTGTCTACTTGGCCCTCCTGCCGCCAGATGCCACTGAGCCTCAGGGCCAGCTAGTCTATGACAAAGTCGTTCAAAACTGGTGAATGTCTTCTTTGGTGCTTAATGATGAATAAATGTTAGTGGAAGGAATGAACGAATTCCGGTGTTGTAGTCTGATCTGTTTCTTGTCCTTCAGGAGAAACAATTAGGATCTCCCAGTGAGAAGCTGTCTAGTTCTGGAACCGAGCTGAGTGGTTTTGCTATGCCCAGACTCTTCAGCCTGAGAGGGAGAACACAGTCCTGCCCTCAAGGGTTAGAGGGCATCAGGACCACCCGGCGGGCATGTTAGGCCATTGCCCAGAGTTGGGGCCCAGGAATGTGCATTTCTAACAACTTCCCAGGTGCTGCTGGCGCTGGGACAGCACTTTGAGAAGCACTGGTCTGGTGAGAGGTGTCAGGGCTATGCTGTGGTCTCAGCCATTTTCCAGCTGTCCTTTGCTGTTTCTAGCTTGTCAACTCTGTAAGGATAATGAGTTCGCCTCTGGTTCCTTAGCTTTGCAACCCTGCTTTGTATCTCATGCTGTTTTATTATACTTGAGTACATTTTAATTGGTTCTTATACCTATGACATAATCTATGTGGCTCAAAGGGCTTGGGAGGAACGTCTCTTTGCTGAGATGTGACTTCTTCCATAATGGTTTTTCTTTTCGGTTTTGCATTCTGTATTCTTCCCAGATCGTTTGCAAGGTAGCCCTGCCACATCTTTCATCTTGTTCACACCTGGGCAACTGTGTCTAGACCATCTCTTTGCTCTGATATACGCCGATGTATAAAAAAGACTGGAGACCGAAGGATCTCACGAAAGAGAAGAAATGTACTTGTGAAGAAAGTTTGCAATGCAGTCAAGACCTCAGCCAGAACAGATATACGACAGGTGCACAGCAGACAAAAGCCAGAGGAAAGAAACCACACAATTACCAGGTTTATGATGGGCCGTTCACGGCAGGAAACAGCAGCACTGTCACTCGATTACGACCAAAGGTCACATCTCCTGACAACGGCATTGCACAAATGAGGGATAATGCTTTTTCCCTTTTGGGAATCCGTATAGAAATGCTCCAGGTTTCATTTACTTGGGGGACGTGACTACATAGGTGACTGTCATTTCTGGTCTTTCACAGGGTGCCAAGTATTTATTTTTCTTGTCTCTTCAACTTACAACGGCAGCATGGGGAAATGCCAGTTTAGCTCAAACCTCACCTCGTGTTTTCATTCGCCTTGGGTAGAGGGAAGTCTGAATCCCAACCAGCTTGGATTTTACTTCCTTCAGCCATCTCTATATTGCCTGAGTAAATCCAGCGTGCTCTTATATTTGTCTCTGACCATAGCTTCTAAGACATTTCGGTGACTTCTTGTCTGGCTTTACAACCACTTTAATGGCTTTAGACAAATTTTCTGAATCGCTGTGCAGCCAGCTTTCAAAGTCCTGCCAGCGATGGGCGGAAACACGGGGACCTGTGAAGCAAGCACTTTCAGGCTCTGCCAGATGGAATCACAGACAGGAAATGCACAAGTAAACAGGCCAATTCTTTTTCTTCTCCCTCTTTTGTCTCTAGCCAAATCTTACTTGACATTTTTGGATCAGCACGTAGCCTGCTTAGGAAGACCCTTAATTGTAAACTGCTCATCTGAACGGCATTTCTCATTTGTACGGAAAGGCCCTAGGGGGCCCTCATTGGATGGTCTGCCCATCCAATTCTCTTCTCAAGAATCATCTCCTGGCCCCCTCCCCCCTGCTTCTTCCCCACATTCGCTGCTGCAGCAGCCATGAGGTGACTTTGTCCTGCTAGCCTCAGTTGACTGCTCCAGCTCTAGGCCTTTCCTCTAAAGACCAGGAGCAGCTGGACTGGAGCAGGGGAAGCTCAGAGCTGTTACTGTGAGCGGCCCCGCGCCCATCTCGTGTGGTCTAAGGAGCAAAGGGAGCCAGGCATAGCCAGAGAAGGAAGCAACGGAGTCTCAAAAGAAGCAGGTAGAGTAGCCCAAAGAGACAGCCCCCTCACCAGGGTGGCATTTCTTCCCTGGCCCCAGACCATTCCTGAGATCCCTGGTTCTAAAAGATGCTCCGAGGTACCTCTGTATCCTTAGAAGATTTTTCTTAAGCTAGTTTGAACTGGGTTGTTGTTTCTTGCAACCAAAGGGAGTCTAATAAAAGTGCACTACAATGTTTCATGGTATACGGTAGTGAAAAAAAAAAAAACAATTAGATTTGGAAGCAGAAAGAAAAAAAGAAAAAAATATCATGAATTGAGAACCCATGGCATATGAGGCCAAATGTCATGCTTAATCCTTTCCCAACCTTGTTTTCCATAATTCTTACATCAGTCCTTTGAGGTAGGTGTCGATGTCATTTTTCAAATGAAGAAACAAATGTTTGGAGAGGTGGAGTAACTTGGGGGACAGGAGTACACATCACACAGCTAAGAGCCAAGAGCCAGGATCGTATCCAGGACTGTCTGACCACAGAGTTCCTTGGCTTTTCTTGGCGCCGGGTGTTTGTCACATCCAGCTTCACTATTACAAGTCTAGAGACCATGGGCAACCCCCTTGGAGTAAAAATTAAGGGAGGTGATACCTTGAATCTAGGTGATTTGTAAGCCCTGTGGTTATTAGATGCCCAAATTAGCCCTTATGAACTTTTCCATAAAGTAGATAAATGAAATATGATTTAAAATCGGCAAATTTGAATGGATTATCTCACGCAACGTGTCTTTTAGGCACCAGATGGAGCCAGTGGTCCCGTCCACATCAGCTTCTCTGTGGTACACTTTTCTGGGTTGACAGATGAGTGGTAAACTCATACACAGTATCAGCTTTAGACCTGGCCTTGGACTTCTCCCTCACCTACTGAACTGCAACGGGGATTGTGACACACCAAGAAGCTGAAGAGTGATGAAGTGTGGAGATAAAACAGGTGATAATAACAATCCTGTTAACCTGACAGTAACTGGTAAGTTTACCTGTTACTGTAAGTCAACTGCAAGTGGGCACAGCACCAAATACAGAACTATGCAGGGTATCAATCTATGTGGGTGGAGTAGAATCGAGTTTAGAGAAGAGACAGGCTTAGAAGGTCATCAATATCTGCACAGAGAAAGTCAGAATGTGTTTACCTGGACAATCTCTTGAAGAGGTGGGCCAGCCTGAGCCAGAGAAAGTAGTCACCTCTGATTTATAATGCCTTCTTTATGATCAGAAGAAGTAAGAATTACAGTTCTGACTTACAGTAAATCTGAAATGCCCTAATGAGTTTGAGTATTATTATGCAAGAAACCTTTATTTACATGTCTTAAACAGATGAACATAGCTAAGAAGACTTTTAAGTGTGATAAGACATGACCCAAGAAAACAGATTTCTTGTAGGAATAAACTTTCAAATCTTAATGCTATACATTCACTGGCAATCCTGGTTATAAATGGAGTTGTTCTTTTAAGAGTTTACAATACAGTTGACCTTTGAACAACATGGGGGTTGGAGCACAAACCTCCCATAGTCGAAAATCCAAATATAACTACTACTTAAATTTGTGAAAGTTAATTTAAATTAACCTCCCGCATACCTAAAGTTCTTTAGAGATAGGTAACATTAATACAAGGCATGTATATTATTTTATATAAATGTCTTAGGGCAAAGTTGTACCTGGTGGTTTTGACGAAAATAGACTGGTTTTCTCTGTTTGTCAGTGGTGAGTATAAGCAGTTCTTTCATTGCTTATTAGTTCAGTGCAATGTGGAGTGTGGCTAGGATTTGAGACACCTAGGAAAAAAATTCACCATGTGTCAACTCTTTTTGTAAAAAGAGTTTATCATATCTTCATTAGGAAATCAATTTTCATGAAATTAATCTTTTTTCTTGCTAAGTGCTCAATTTTTTAGTTTTCCTCTGCTTGCACTTTAAGACCATTCCCCAAACTGACCATTAGAGGATTTCTATCTGGGGCACTTGGTGTATGCCAAATGGAAATGAAGATGGCTAGGCCACAGACCCAGCATCCCAAACTATTAAAATATTCTTCGTGATCTGGGGAAGGTGGTAGATCCCCTTGGGAATCAGACACAAACTATATATCCTTTCTCCAGAAACATACATATACACAAAATGTTCTGTACAGTTTTAAAGTGTTCATGGACCTCCCACTCCTACCCCACCCCCGAAACTCTTTCACGACTACCTTGACTCAGGAGCCTCGGACTAAACGATAATTCTTAAGGGACCTTCAGCGCTTAAATGGTTAGAGGCCACTATAGAAATTACCACCTCAATCAACAGGTGGCATTGCTTCGGTTGGCTGGGAGCCTCAGCTGCTGCAGTCAGGATGCTCAGGTGAATTCCGCCCGACTCCCGTCATTCAAGGCGTTTCTCACCCCCGCAGCCATCGAGCCAGGTTCGGTAGGTCTGAATTGTCCAGGCCTTAAGGCTCATGAAGAGGAAGCGAATATCTGCAAATAGTAATGCTTTTTATAATTGGCGTGAGGTCTCCATTCTGAGCCAGAGTGTACTTAACGAAGTTCATTTCAGGCTTTAATTCCCTCATCCCTTCTGATGCCGATGGTCTAAAAGGTGCGGCCTGCGGACGAGGCACCTTAACCAGGGTCCCCGAGCCTCCTGCGGCCCGCCTCCTCCCCGAGGGTTTGGATGTGGTCCCGATGGAAAGGACTGAGTGAGCCAGGTGCCATGGGCCCCACCTTTCTTGAGCTCCCCGGTTGTCCTGTTTGTAACTCCAAAGCCCCTCTTCAGAGTGACTGATCCATTGACCGATGTCCCCCTTCTTAGGGTGTGTCGGGGGGGAGCTCCAGGAGAGGGGAAGGCCACCCCGCCCACCTGTGCGAGGCTTTCTGGGAGCAGTCCCACGGTAAGGCAGGGAGCTATTTGTCGCACCTAAAAGCGACGCCCACCGAGGGCCCGGAAGATGTGGGAGACTTAGGGTGGGAGCCCCCGTGCTCCGCAGCTTACGCGCAGGAACCGTCAGGTCACGCTGAGGACCCACCTTCCGGCCCCTTCCATAACCGGGGTAACACCTCAGGCCCCGCCCCAAGCGTAGAGGATACGCCCTCGACTCTGCCCCACGTACCGAGGACCCTCCCTTGGCTCCGACCCCCG